TACCAGTAAAAGCATTGGCCGCTTCCATGTGGTTAGTCCAATAATCCCAGAGAGGATGACCTGCAGAAAGAAACCGTTTTAAGGAAGGACATTATGTTTGAATCAATGCTTACATATCAGCCGCTAAACACTGAAAACATCTTTCACTGACAATAAATCCTACGGCAATGGCTCCTCTCACAATGTGTGCCAGCCTCGTCCAAATACCATTGTCCCCTGAACTCGCTTCCCGCTACTTCCTTTTTATTGAAATATGTGAATATAATAGCTTTGGTGTAATAATAGCTTTTACTGCAAAAAAAATGCAGTAAAAGACTTCTTTTCAGATAAATAAAAGTTTCTGCCTGCGATGCAAACCTGTTCACAGAAATCAAAACCTTTGTAGAAACGAATTACATCAAAACATTTAAGTTGAGAAACTATACTTCTAAACTGTGACTATAAAATAACCAAAAGGTTTAAACAAATTATCATTTTACTCAAAATGCATGGTTTTATCAACTCAGATGTTTTGAGTACCCTGAAGGCTCTTCCTCACTATTGGTTTTCTTTTTATAATAAAATCTTAAAATAAAAAGCATATAGTAACTTACACTTTTGTCCCCAATTTCACCAGAAACCAATTACCCCAGAACATTTGAGTTGGTGAACCATGCTTTTTAAGTAAATACTACTCAAAAAAGTATGATAAGCTTACCCCATACTCTCTGTGGGGTACTCTGTTGCGTACTGTCCACTAGATTTCGTTTTCTAGCAGTTTTCCACAAGTACATTTTTATTGAGTGACGTCTTATATGACACCTTCAGTTATAAACAGCACCTAACAGCAGAGCGTGAAGTAATAAAAAAATTTTCACACTCAGCTGAGATTTCACCAACCACTTCAGTCTGCCCCTGTCAACGACTAAATATCAAACATGCTGAAATCTGGGTCAGGGATAAGGTTTGTACTGATGAGGATAACATTGGCCAGTTTCAAAGCATGGTAATTTATAAAACATTTGAAAAACTTGGAGGTATAGAAATGTAAATTAAGCCATTGCTCTAATGCATTAATGAGGAAGAATGATTTGTCTAATACATAAAAAAGCATAATTTTAAAATGCTTATTAACCTTTTAATTAACCTAAATTATTTTTACTTTGTCCAATTCATTGAAGTCCACTAATAATTTCAAAGTAAACTACATTTTTATGAGCCGTTTAAGTATTCTGATGATCTAATAAGACACTAAATTGTGGCCAGTGTTGACCTTACATACACATCATGTGAGCTTAAATCTGATCATAGATGGATTGTTGAGATTCACAACTTCACAGATTTTTTCCATTACGTATTTATATTATAAGAAAAAATATATAGCGGATTTATATAGCGGAGTAAAATACTGTACAATTGTACAGTACGCACCATTACAATCTTTCTATTTTTTTATGTTCACTTACTGTTTTATTGCTTATCATTTGTGCCTGTGTACATTGTACATCTGCACATTACTGTAAAGGGTGGTTTGTTAACAGTACTATGTTAAGGGAGGGTTTCAAAAGTCTGAATACTGAATACCTGTTAAATAAATACTGTAAATATGGTGTCCCTACTTCGCGGATTTTCAGCTATCGAGGCCAGTTCTGGAACCTATCTCCCGCGATAAACGAGGATTCACTGTAGAACCTTAATAAATGCTCAATAATCATCACTGCAATCATCAATGCCCAAGTTGTGTCACGATGCAATATCACAGGTCAAAGTTCATTCCAGCTTAACTTTGGGAGACCTGACAATGGTTGAGACATTGAGATTGGTTTGCATTGAGGATTTTGCATGTGTTTTATCAAGAGTCAAAAGAGCTTTTATGTCACAAGAGGGCTGAAAAAACATGACTCAACTTTGGCTTAGCTCAACTCGCCACAGTTTGCCTTTGTGTTACCATTGACTTCCAGAATTGAGTGGGCTTTGTTTTAGACGTGTCACTCAAGTCACTGAGAATACTTTTAGACATTTACAATTGACTTAACCCAGGGTCAAACTCATAGAAACTTCAAATTGACCGCACGTGTGGAGGTTATCAGTATGTGCAAAAACGCTTAGAAATGCTTTAAAAAGACAATGGCACATTTTCACATCTTGTATTTGTCTAAAGATCAAGTAACTTTTTGTTTCTCAGTCTACAACCTCTTTAAATTGATTTATGATTAACTCACAACTGAGGTTAATGACAAATGGTCTTCTCAATAGCTTTTTTACAACATATTCACAGTATCACAAGCAAATGGTAAACACATCTTGCAGTGTGAGATGTGCTCATCTATTCTAAAATAGACTGATCTTAAAGTAACATTATAGCACCAGGTTTCTGTTTCAGACCAAGTTACACTTGAAACACATTAGGGTACAAATCTTTCTTCTTTATTTACCAACGAACGGCAGATAAATAGTTAATTTTATTCGGTTTTTGAACATGTGCTGTGACAAAAACATTAGCACATCTAATGATAATCAATGATTCAATACTCACAGAGGATCCAGCCCAGAAGGGACAGGAGTTTCTAATAGGGGGCGAGTCGCTGATTGACAGAGCGCCAAAAGAAAGGGCCACCATGGAACAGCCGAGCACCAGCTGCAGCAAGCCCAGCGAGAGCAGCGGGCGAGCGGGCAGCAGCGCTGGGAGGAGCCGCGTCTGAGAGCCCGACATGCGCGATGGAAGAGCGGACACAGCGCGACAGCGACTCCGGTGAGAGGCGTCCGTGAATTGGTGGGCTAGGGCAGCCCCCGATAAACGACAGCAAGACCCGGGAAGCACTACAGGGAGAGACATTGGAGACACGGGAGCGGCCAAACAACAACAATACGGCTTGGAGCTCCGCGGCGCCCCCACATTTTATTAGGGGTGTCTAACTAACGGTGACGGTCACTGGTTCGCACTGTCCGTTCCTCGTTAATTCCATGATCCTGGTGGAAGACGAAAAGCAGCACTGGTTTTAAAATAACCACGGGCTCGGTGTGACCTGCTGCTGTGCTCGGGTTCTGTTTCACCGTGTTTGTTTTTTTTAGATACAGGGAGTGAGCTGAGACGCGGGGGAGGGGCGTGGGGGACCAACACACCTCCTCAAATGTGAAGAAGGGAGTCTGTTTCTTACTCGATTAACAGTATCTGACGTGTATTTCACAATCAACAAACAATACGTGTTTAAAAACCTCAACAGCGTGGTCCAGTACGTGTCCCTTATTAAAATACCTCATGCAGTATTCACAGCTCACTAGCACTCTGCGCCCGCATCCAGGCAGATGACCACATACTATAAATTTGATTTCAATGGTTCACATACCATCAGGGAAGGCAGGACTATGCTGCAATAGCTTTAAATCATAGCTAAATTTGCTCTAAATTGGGCTATTACATCATTAAGATGTCTCATTTTCTACTTTTTTATTGTTTCATTGAGTTTATACGCGCTTGTATTTTAAGTTTTAATGAGCGGAAAGATCATGACGTGATCCTGTGTGACAGCTCCTGTGTGATACAGTCTCAGGTAGTGACGTCACGCCATCATATTGTTTAGCTCGGGGGTCGGCAACCCGCTGCTCTAGAGCCGCATGTGGCTCTTTAGCGCTACCAAGTGGCTCCCTGGAGATTTTTCAAAAATGTTTGAAAATGAAAAAAGATGGGTGAGGGAAATATATTTCCCTCAACAAACATGACAGGAACATTCTTAACGTTTCCAATGCTGTAAAAATGTGTAGAATAAACATTAAATTTCGACATTTCTGTCAACAAAGATTTGCGTCATAGCCTGCGACACACGTTTCTGTCAGCAGAACGGGATGCCAGGCAGGTGCCTGTTGTAAACAAAACAAAAAGGTATATACTTTACCTTTTCAAAAGGCTGCTGTTTTATTTTTATAAATGCAGGATGCTTTTTATTGCACTCTGTTTGTTGCCCCGGTGATGGGCACGTTATGCACGTTCCATCTTGTTTTTTTGAATCCTCAAAATAAAAATGACGTCAAAATCGTATTTCTTGATTGCATTTCTTTAATTTCATCAATGAAACATGATTCATCAATATTGTAATGAAGTTAAACTTGAAGTAAATAACATTTTATCATGGAGGCTCATTATTATGTATTTGTAGCCAACTTAGTCCTTTTGAAAGTAGGCTAATATAGATACATACAGCATGTGTTGCCTTCATTATAAGGCTTTTCATTTTTTGCGGCTCCAGACATATTTGCTTTTTGTTGTTTTTTTTTTTTTACCAATATGGCTCTTTCAACATTTTGGGTTGACGACCCCTCGGTTAGCTTATCCCTGGCGCCCTGTGGTTGCCATGGTGATGGGAATGGCTTGCCGCTATGAACGGTTCTGCTAAAAGTGCTAACAGTTAGCATGTCTCGCTGCATCTGCGCACCAGGAAAATAAGAAACTATTCATCTGAAACAAAAGCTACACACTAAGTTGCTGAGAATCTGAAGAAGCCGCCTGTAACGTAGCAGTAAAGCTGGTAAGTTCAACCTGTGCCGAGCTTCTCTGGGCTTTTCTTCAACAAACATATTTGTTCTCAACAAATCTATTCTTGGCTGCATGGCAAAAATAAAGTTATGATTACGATACCCATTGTTCGTTTTTTCAGTTTCTCTGGTGGTGACCCATTCTACGTATCTGTAAATAAAATGAAGGAAAAGGACTATTTCGCCCAACTGTGAAAATGGCCTGTAGTTAACTTACATATTTGAAATAAAATGATACTGTGAATTAAAAGATAATGCACTCTCTTTTAAGCTGTCCAGGGCACGTGCAGGTTTGTAGTTAGTTTTAGATGTGTTTCTTAAAAAATAAATATATCCGTGGTTCTACATATTTTTTTTCCCCGAGTGATGTTCGTTGTCATGAACGGCAGGTGGCGATATTGACTTTTGGTTCTCACCTGACTCCACCAGACTTCTGCATCAACTAGAAAAGCGTGTTGTCCAAATTAGCTTTTTTTATTCGTTTGTTGGGCAGCACAGTGGCGCAGTGGGTAGCACTGTGGCCTTCCAGGTAGAAGGTTGTCGGTTCAAGGCTCGCCTGTGCTTGCGTGGACACACCTCCGGGTGCTCCGGTTTCCCCCACAATCCCCAAAAACATGCGGATAGGTTAATTGAATAAGCTAAATTCCCCTTAGGGTGTGAATGTGTGTGAATGTTGCCCTGTGATGGACTGGCGAACTGTCCAGGGTGTACCCCTGCCTCTCGCCCAATGTGTGCCGGAGATAGGCACCGGCAGACCCCCGTGACCCCGAAAGGGAATAAGCGGGAATGAATGAATTATTCGTTTGTTTTCTTCTTCACCGAAAGCAACGTGTGAATGAAAGTCTCTACACCTGCGCAAGATCTTTGAGTGAACACCTTTTTGTTCTTTTCTGTGGAAAGTGATGTAGCTTCCATCCCTTCCTTTCCAGCCCACGTGGTCGACAGTCCATTGCCATGTTTATTTCTGCTGTATTAGAGAACTAAACAGTAGTGTAGGTCAACACCATGATTTGTTTGTTTTCAATTTTTCAATTCTTTGTCTGATTTTGTTGAGAGAAAACTATTTGTGAATCAACGAAAACATTCTAATCTATGATCAACTACCTTGAAAAGCCAATGGTTTAAAGGGGTCATGAATTGAGAATCCAAGAAGTGCTTGAACTTTTCAGACTCATAGAACAATAAAGAGCTACACATTTAAATGGTTTTTGATCAAATGTGCTTTTTGAGCCATTTGTCATATAAAACAAGTAATTGTGGAATTCCTGTGATGTGGGAAGTACATTTTTGCCTCTCCCCAGTCCTTCAGGGTTAATATAATCCACTTTTGACAGTCATATGGTCACTTGGTTCTTCTTCTGAAGATAGCTCCAGTGATTGCTAGGAGATGCTCAGTGTCACTGTTTGCAATTTCTCAATTGTACTACCAACCATTTAATCCTTATGTGAGGAAGGTTTTATTTTCAATTATGTTTGAGTCCATAAAAACATGCCATTTTCATGCCATGCATTACAAAAATGATGTATGTGTCGCTTTTTGATGATGACTAAATGAATCGTGTATTCCTCACTTGCTACTAATGCTGTACTAGCTGGTTGGTTTCAGACATGCAACCTTTAGCCATTATTCTGAATACCGAATTACTTAATGTCGAGAAAATATCTCTCTTTTTGCATTGAAGCAGCATCTGACTCAATGTGAATAAACCACACCAAATGTTCAAATTTATGGTTTATATATGACCTTTTATATCATCTGCAGAGTCCTATAGATGGCGTGAAGAAAAGCCCTCCATAAATATCCAAATATTAGTAAATTATTAAGTATTTTGAAGTACAAACAGTACATATGTAAGTATAAATCCAGTTCAGTTTAAGGTGTTGTTAGGGCAACACACCTTTGTATCATTTTCTTCCAGTTGTATCAATTTATTTCTCAAGGTTTATTTCTTGTCTCATGCTAGAAATTCAGAATACTTTTTGTAAATATTTGAAATCACAGTTGTATCAGGATGCTGTATATTGCACCTCAGAGCTGATGACACTCACAGAACAGTGGGAATTTCTGCTGGAGCTGTCAGTTCTGCAGGGTGAGAGAACGGATGAGAACAATCAGCTGAGGGAGAGAATGAGAAGTGGACAGTGAGCTGAGCTGAGCTGAGCAGTCTGTACCAGCCTCCACAGACGCCAGTGGAAGAAAATACCACTGAAACATCTTAGATTGCTTGACTGAGCTCTGATTCCTTTGAAATAAGAGTTATGCAAACACATAAAGGGGACTTCAGATACCAAACAATCTTTTCCGGGTTGTCTGAAGATAAATTTAGCTCGATATAGTCAAACAGTTTAAATTCTTAAAATAAACCCAATTTTGGAAACAGTCCACCATGCAGTTACTGTGCCGCACATTCTCACATAATCTAATTGTATTATCAAAATCTGATGGAGGTGTATGAATTCTGTTTTTTGGTCTCTATCCAGCTGTAAGCGGGCTGCTGAAGGTCATAAATACAAAGGTAAATGAGGGCATGAGGAGTATGGATCTGGAAGATGGTATGAATAAAATCCAAGAGAACAGCTTCACCAAAGGCATACAGCAATATTTGATAGATGAGAAGCAGCAGATGGAACAGCTCAGAGAGGACAATCTGCAACTGAAGGTGAAGAGGAAGAATCACAACTGTTTAATTACATTTTGTTTCCAAAAGAATGTGTCATGCACTCTTGATGTCAAGTGAAAAGATTTTCAGATTTATAATTAACCCTTAGAAGACTCTGTACGGAATGTTGCGACCTATTGTTTAAATTCGTTTTTAAACGTAATGTGTATATTATGTGTAGTATTATTAGTTTTGGTATTTTTGGTTTTAAACAAACATTACAAAAGTAATAACACATAAGTGGCAAGGTAATTCAAATTAAAACGTTCAAAAAAACTTCGGTGAAATTGAGTTTACTGAATCCAAAATGGTGCCATCAGTGGTGAAAAAAGGTAAGTACAAGACCTGAGATATGGCTTGTTTTTGTCAAAGTTCTGGCACAGAAAAGCACAATGGCACAAAAAGTGCTTGTAACAATTTATAAGGTTTAGAAAAGATTTGCTTGTATTTTTATAAAATGTTCACAATTGTTTTCTTTTTTTTTTGGGGGGGGGGGTTAGATTTTTGTTATAAAACATAAAAACAGTTTGTTCACAATTTTTAACATTTTTGCAGTAAAAAAATACTATTGTATTGTATTGTAATTGTTTTGTAAAATTTCAGATTTGTTGTGGAACTATTGTGTAATATAATGAAAAAATATATTTTTTAAAGAATTTATTAGAACATATTGTAAAGTAGTAAAAAACGCTCAAAAATGCCCAGACTTCTAAGAATTAAACCCCTGTTTTAACAATCGAGTTATATTACCAGTAACAAAAAATGTTATACATTTATTAGAACTTCCTCCAATCTGCTACAGATTATTCAGGAGGGATAAAAAAATGTAAAAGTTACTCTGTGATAAATTCTATGCAGTGCACTATACTGGAAGATACCAACATTAGGATCAAAACTGCAGGTTGTTTAATGCTCTTGCTTTATTATTTCTGCAACTCTCTTGTGCCGGTTGCTGGTTTCCCAGGCTGCCCTGAGACAGGCAGAGCTCATGCTCAGCACTATGGTCAGAGAGAAAGGCTGTCAGCAGGCTGCGCTCTCAGAGCAGATCTGCAGCGTTGATCAGCTTACTTTAGAGAGACAGAAAAGGAGCGCTGAGCTGGGAGTGCAGCGCTTGCAAATACGCCAGCTCAAAGGTACAGATTCATCTCTAGCGCATTGCAAAACCCAATATTACAAAGTAAATATGTATGTTATATGTACATCTTAGAAAACAACAGAAATGAACAAGTCCAAGATATATTCAGCATGACACAATGGCAATTGTATTACCCTAACATTGATTTTTTTTCTCAACCTAATACACATCAGAGGGCCAAGACGCTTTTGAAAAACTTGAACAAGAAAATGTGAAACTGAAGACCCACCTGAAAACTGTACGAGCCGAGCTGAACCAGGCCAGCTGCTGCTGGAGGAGGCAAGAGGCAGCACATGCTCATGGTACTCACGCATCTTTCTATTTCCTTCTTAACAAGAGTTACGGAGTGTTCTTTTTTTCATGTGTTTTTAGAACAGCCCAATGAATGATTGACCAAAATACTGATTGATATGTCTTGGCGAATATACTTAAGTCTTAAAAAGTCAGACATTTAAAAACCAATTTTAGACTTTAAAAAGTCGTACATTTTGTTAAATTCACTGTTGTGCGTCTTTAATAATTTTTCACAGGGTTTGTCGACACACTTCAGGTCGAGTGTGCTTGATTGAGACAGATTTCCCAGCATGCATGGCATGAACTGGCACATTTGGTTGTTTAGCAATGATGGCTACTTAATGGAGAAGTACAGAGATGGTCAGAAAGAGCTTCACTGCGTCTTTGTGGATTTAGAAAAAGCGTATGACATGGTGCCAAGAGAAGAGCTATGGTCCTGTATGAGGAGGTCAGGAGTGGCAGAGAAGTACGTCAGAGTAGTTCAGGATATGTATGAGAGAAGTAAGACAGCAGTGAGATGTGCTGTAGGTCAGACAAATGAGTTCAAAGTGGAGGTGGGGCTACATCAAGGATCAGCTTTGAGTCCCTTCTTATTTGCTATGGTGATGGACAGGTTGACAGATGAGGTCAGGCAGGAATCTCCATGGACAATGATGTTTGCAGATGACATTGTGATTAGTAGTGAGAGCAGAGAGCAGGTGGAGGAAAACCTGGAAAGTTGGAGGTCAGCTCTAGAAAGAAGAGGAATGAAAGTCAGTCGCAGCAAGACAGAATACTTGTGTTTGAACGAGAGGGAGGGAAATAGAACAGTGAGGTTACAGGGGGCTGAGGTCAAGAAGGTGCAGGAGTTTAGGTATTTGGGGTCAACAGTCCAGTGTGACGGGGAGTGTGGAAAAGAGGTGAAGAGACGAGTGCAGGCAGGTTGGAGTGGGTGGAGAAAAGTGTCAGGAGTGTTGTGTGACAGAAGAGTGTCAGCAAGAATCAAAGGAAAGGTGTACAGAACAGTAGTGAGACCAGCTATGATGTATGGGTTGGAGACTGTGGCAGTGAGGAAGAGACAAGAGGCAGAGCTGGAAGTAGCAGAGATGAGGATGTTGAGGTTCAGTTTAGGAGTGACGAGGATGGACAAGATTAGGAACGAGCACATCAGAGGGACAGCTCAGGTTGGTTGTTTTGGAGACAAAGTCAGAGAGGCCAGGTTGAGATGGTTTGGACATGTGCAGAGGAGGGATAGTGGTTATATTAGAAGAAGGATGTTGGAGATGGAGATGCCAGGCAAGAGGTCAAGAGGAAGACCAAAGAGGAGATATATGGATGTGCTGAAAGAGGACATGAAGGTAGTTGGTGCAAGAGTAGAGGATACTGAGGACAGAGTTAGGTGGAAAAGGATGATTCGCTGTGGCGACCCCTAAACTGGGAACAGCCGAAAGTAAAAGAAGAAGAAGAGCAATGATGGCTACTGTCATAACCACAAA